TCTTCAGGATAAAATCACTTGCCATGTGGCATTCCCCCGACAACTCCAGGAGTTGGGCACAAGCTGCTCTTTCGCTGAGCTCCTTGATGCAGACTGCACCATCCCAGCTTCGTTTTCAGCATGGCGCAGATTCGTTCTGTCAGTAAGACAGGGGTGGAGTCCTCACCTGCATGGCAGATCGAGATGATTCAAGCAAATGTGTACTTTTCCAAACGCAAGATTTATCCTTCAGCTTTGTGGTAAAAGAGGCACAGGCAGAGAGATACAACTGGATACATCAGTTGGGAATATAACTGAAGGTTAGTCTTGGAGCAGAGATTTATCCACAGCATAGGTCCCAAGAATTCTTGGAGCCTTCGCATAGTGCTTGAATTTTCTTTCTGACCATGAAAGTGTGGTCCGTGACACTTGTATATAACACTGGGGAAATAAATTTGACTGAGGGTCTGTGCTTCAAAGAAAACCAGTTGGAACAGGGATAGGTTCAGTTACTTCTACCTTCCAGGATGGGGAAGCAGCTCAATGGGAAAAGGGCAAGAAAATATTTTATAGCAAAGAATTTCTGACACTAATGTGGGCTTGCTGAATACAGAGCCCGGGTGTTTATCTTTAACTAACGTCCCTTTGTAAATAGCACTGATGCGAAGGCATCAGACCCATGCACATCTGTCAAACCAGATGCCCACTGGAGAATCTTGCTGGAGACAGAACTGTGGAGTCTGGCTTTATAGAGATGTACGTGCAGTGAAACAAAGGAGGGAAAAGAATGCTCCTAATGGGAGAGCTATGGGAAACGACAAATGACAACGAGCTATATTGTTTTTCCATGCGCAAGGGAATTTATGCATTTTACTTTCTGGCGCTAATGGAAATCTTTCCATTTGTATTTTGGGAAGAGGAGATCAGGCCCTTCGCTCTGCCTTGTGCATTTATGCTAAAGCTGCTAGATCTACTTTTGAAGCGATACTCGTGATTTTAGGCGCCTCCATTTTTAGGTGCCCAACAGAAGACCTCGTGAAGAGAGCGAGTGTGGAACATGTATCCTCTGAAATCAGGCCTTCTTAAGGTGTCTCAAGTTAGAGCACCCAAAGTAACTAGTCATTTTTAAAAATTCAGGCCATATTTGTCATTTTAAAAACGCTTTGTCAAAATGTCTGGTGGTGTTGCAGCCATTTTGGTTCCAGGATATTAGAGACACAGGGTGGGTGAGGCAACATATTTTCCTGACCTAACAGCTTGACACTTTCACTAACTGAAGTTGGTCCAATAAAAGATATTCCCCACTCACCTTGGGTGTCCCATAAAAATGTGGTAATAAATATTTTACAGTAACATCCACAGAATACAATAGTACTGATTTAAGCATGTGTGGTTTAGACCATTGTTTTAGAACACAGCAGTACTCTTATTAAAGTATAACTCTCTTAAACACATGAAATGTTTATTATTGTTCTATTTTGTATTTCCTATTTCAAGATAAGGGCCTATTGTGCTAAGTGCTGTACAATCATACAATAAAAGACAGTTCCTGTCTCCAAGAGCTTACAACAGAAATAGCCAAGTCAGAAGGAGAGGAAAATAGACACAAGGCGATGAAAGAATTTGCCCAAGGATGTAGCAGAGTTGTAGCAGTGAAGCTGGGAAAAAACCAGGTTTCTTTATCTGTTGACCAGACGTCATTGCCTCTTTTTTATCATCTTGCTTTTAAATCTGATACCCCTTCAAGGGAAGTTCCAGTGGCAACTCCTGGCAGCATTGCTCCTGGAGAATCCATCCTCTAGAGGAGACACAAGGAGCTATGGATGGCTAGTGGTGGTGTTGACATTGGCTATTCCCACACTGGTGAGCATTACACCCAAAAGCCTATGGTTCATGTTCTTCTTTTCGCATAGCTAATTGATTCCAGTCACAAAAAACTCAAACTCATTTCTACTGGGTTTTCTACGAGACGTCAAAAGACATGGGTGTTAGTGCTGGCCTGAATAATACTTTGTGACATCCATGCCGAATCGTCTCTTAGCTGCCCAGTTGAGATCCACATCCCGGTGCCACCATGAAATCGAAGGGAGAAACAATGGGTTTCCTCTTTCTTTGCTCCACATTGTACCAAGGCACACGGAACAAAACTCAGCCCCAAGTGTTTTGTCGTGGCTCCCTGCTCTAAATCATTCTGGCAAGTATCTGCCTGAATTGTCAACAGGGTCCATCTTTGGTTTCATTTCCTGTTATTCAAGGCCTGAGGGGACTCAAAAAATTCTCTGGTGTAACTCCACCAAGGTCAAAGGTGCTACATGTGGGGTAGATTTAGTCCGAGATATCTATTCATAGCCAGCCTGTTTAGTAACTCCTGAGTCCTAGGCGCCATCACAGACCCATTCCCTGCACCACCTCCCAATTAATCACAACCATTCGCTTTGGAATGCCCAAGCAGAAATGTCACTTTGCGCTGGGAATTCCTGCCGCCGCCGCTGCTTGAACACCCTGAATGGCTGGTGGCTAGAAAGGCTCTGAGAACTGCTGCTATTGAGAGAGAGATCTTCATCTATTCTCTTCATTGTTTACTTTTACGGCCACCTCTGAACCCGGGGCATGATTTTTTCTGATGAGGCGGATGGAGTAACAAGCTGCTTCTGGTACTTGTTTGCTGGAGGTTTACTCTTTCTGCTGCAGCTGAACTATTTTTGAGCAACCCACAGTCCGGCTGGATTTGTATTTAGTCTGCATAGCTTAGCTGAACTATCATTCTGTAAACATGGCTCTCACGTCAGCCAGTATCTGTCACGTGGTTTTGGGTCTTGCTCGCCTGATTCAAGGGAAAAGAGCCAAATTCTGCTCTCCGTTGCAGTGATTTAAATCCAGAATAACACCACCAATTTCACTGGAGTAACCCTGTATACCTCTGAGAGCAGGATTTGTTCTTTGGATCTAAGCTGGCGTTTGCATGGTTCTCTTTCTGTTGGGTTAATGTAGGACTTTGTGTCTAATGGAGGTGACCTGAAAGAGTTTAATGATGAATCCATACCTGAGATTCGTAGAATATATATTCCTGTATTGCATCTGTATAAAATAGTGGCTTTGACACAGATTCACAACGAGTACAATGAACAACCAGCAGATGGATGATAGAAGTTCCATATACCGTATCAGAGAGAACTAAACAATACAGCACTTCGATGCATAACATTTAGCATAAATCAGAAGCAGCACATATAGTTTGAAAGCAAGGCGGGGAGTAGGGAAGGAAGCAGTGAGGCAGCATAGTGCAATACCAGGAGAAGGAGAGAGGAATACAGGCTGGAGAGAGCTGCATGTGTATGGAAGTTTCCCAGGGGTATACATAGACTCCGTAAAAAGAATTTGGGGGTGGAGGAGAGGGTGGTGTTTGCTGATCTTGAACAAATGTCAGCGCCACAGTGGTACATTTTTAACCTGTCACACAGGAGCTCGACTTGTAAAGACAGCTGTTGGCTTACAGGACATGTGTTCACAAATCCGGTATTGTCCTCCCCTGAAAAAAGAAAGGGGAGCCAAGGAAAGACTGACGCGAAGGAGTGGGCTGTGGTCATCTTTCTAAAAATAATATCCCTGCGAAGACAGGATCAGAGACTCTGAGAGATTGGCTGAAGCGAGGCCAGGGATCTGTGCTGACCCATTCTCCTGGAGCGTTTTGCCCAGGGCTATACTCAAACCCCGTTAGTATTTGCACGCTGGATTTAAAGCAGGCATTAAGCAGACTCAGAACGATCCAAATGCACATGCTAGTTTTGCTAGCTGCACTTGCCTACCTCGAATGTGCCGGGGGTAGCAGCACTTTGATTGGCTCTCACAGTCAATGTCCTGTGTACTCAGCACGTACTTCACTTCACGTGCCCTTGCTTTGCATGCGTGTCATTTTAATAATACCGGTAGGAAAAAACTACCTGGATGGAAACCAGAGGAATCTGGCCACCATGTGCACGGGCAACAGTAAATAAAACGTCTCGTGGGCCGCATGCAGCCCACAGGCTGCCCACCACTGGTCTAAGTACCTAATGGGTGGATTCAAATCAACGTAGGGTGGGATTTTCAGAAGAGCTCGGCATTGGCCTAAGTCTGCCGCCACTGACATCAATAGGAGCAGAGTCCAGCCAATGGGAGGTGCTTTGCAAAATACTACCTGTAAACCGCATTTAAAAGCTATAGAATGTACATTACTTTAGACTGGGAACTGGGCTCTGTACTCTCGGTAGCCTGCAATGCAAACTGGTCAAAGCTAGGAAGGCTGCATTTTGGCTGAAACTCATATGTTGTGTGTCACAGTTTCACCTCTGCCGCCTGCAGACCCCGGTGCACTCGCATTTATAGCAGAGTCCCTGATGTCGAGCGGTGAAAATAAACCCAAAGTGAGGATCTTTCTGTTGGGTGTTCACAACTTTCCCAAGTGGCTTTCCCTTTCCCCCTTGAGCTCTGTCTGCTCTAGTGAGGAGTGTGCATCCCCTTGCTGAACAGTCCTGACTTCCAGCAACCAGAGTTACAAGAATTGGGAGGAGAAGCAGACCATTGCATCTCTGAAGGGTTCTGCTCACATCCTCACAGCCATAGTTAGGCAACTCTGTTCTGATTTCCTAGGGGGGAGCATTTTTCATGGAGATTGGGAGCTGTCGAGGGCACAGTCCTTTGGTCCACCCAGCTGGGCTTTATTTGGCTCAGGACCTAGGGCGAAGGTAGGCGGTTGTGGATATATGGCATATTTACCTCTTTTTGCCTTATTCTGTCCCCGCTTGTGCTCTTTCCTCAATCCTCTGACAAGACAAGGCTAGATCTCTTTGGCCAACTGCAGTGACTGTGTTTGAGATTTTAGTCTGGACAGGGAGTGGGACACAGGTCTCCTTGGGGTTACAGTTAATCCATAACTGGGGAGGGCAATCCGTCAGCCAGCAGGGTCACATTTTTACCATTATACTGCCTGAAGGCTAGTCTCAGACCTCTACCTTTCCCTCATTGTCCCCTTTGCGTTACAGAGCCTAAAGTATGACCAGAAAGATCTTCACCAACACCAGGGAGCGGTGGAGGCAGCAAAACGTCAACAGCGCCTTCGCCAAGCTTAGGAAGCTCATCCCCACCCACCCTCCAGACAAAAAACTGAGCAAGAACGAGACGCTCCGCTTGGCCATGAGGTACATCAACTTCCTCGTCAAGGTCTTGGGGGAGCAGGGTCTGCCTCAGACAGGAGTGACTGCCCGGGGGAGCATACTGGGGCTATTTCAACAAGCCCCACACCTGCAGAATATGGAGGAGCTGACTCTGATTGAAGACTGTGGAGTCCCTTCTCCAGGCACAAGCAGCAACATCCCAGAGTGCTGGTCAGAGACGTCGTCTCCCTAGCAGGCCGCGAGTGATGCTGTCCTGGTATTAGTTTGATAGTCCCCTTTGCATAACGTGTGGAATGTTTGCCTCTGTACAGTATTTATCTATTTATATCTATTACTGTTGTATTAAATATATTTTATTTGAAAGGAAAGGAGGTGGCAGGACAGGCTTGGCTGAATAGAAAGTGGTGTTCAACCCTTGGGAATCTGCAAGGACTCATTGCTGTGATGTCAGATTCATGGAAAAAATCAAAGCCAAGGGGGGATCAGCATTACTTGAGCCCCTGTCGAACGCAGGCCATAGAACTTCCGCCAGCATTTAAGACTCCTCCAGTGAAAGAGATCATTCTTCCTTCCTATATAAGGAAGCATTATTGAGCCCTGTTGCTTGTGACTGCACTAACATGTTTCACTTAGAAACTATCCAGCCTGGGCTGACTGATTCCAAGTGATGGAGCATTTCCACATCCCTTGGTCAGCAGTTCCGATGAGTAATAACTCTCACATCTGATTTCTGTCCTGAATGTTTCTAACATGTAGCTTCCATCCGTTGGATCTTGGTCTGCTTGACGGAAGGGCTGTCTAACATCAGAATGCAACACAAATGAGTATATAAAAACAGCCACCGGGAAGCGAAATGCCAGCCTATGCTAAAAGAAGAAATGTGGTGGGGTAAGTTTCAGCAGGTGCAGTGGATAGAAGGCATCGGCAAATCCACCCCCAATGGTGTGAGCACTGGGGGGGAAACGAGCTGGTTTCTTTCTGGCTCAATGCAAAACCTACAGGGAGGCTGCTCCTCCCCTCTCCCATTGCAGGTTTTAAAGGGCCAGGAGACAATCTTATGAACATGAATCCCCTGGTCCCGCAAAGGTCCCCTTTGCACAAATGTCTAGGCAGATTCCACAACACCGGCTGTTCCAAACAAGAGCAGAAAGCAGGGAATCTGTGGAGCTGTTGCTAACCAGAATCCAAGGCCCACGTGAGCCCAGCTTTGGCAGCATACATGTGTGCTCATTTGGCTCACGGGCAGAATTAGGTCTCCTGTGATTGTCACAATAGGAGACCCATGCGTATCTCTGCCTGAATGTGTGAGGTTGTAGTTATTTCATAGCTGTGTGCGTTGTCAACCAGGGCCAACAGGATGGAAGGGACTACACCTAGCCTGTGTATGTGCTGTGGGCTGCCTTTAAAGCCTATGGATTTTGCCTTTGATAATTAGATGGCTTTTCCTTGCTGTGAGATTGAGCCCAAGCTCAGGAGAGTAAATGGAAAAATGTATGTAGAAAGTATTTGCATTGAGGTCAGTGGGTTTCAGAGCAGGCCCCTATTACCTGTACCAATTACTGTAAGGCAGCAGTTCTCAAACTATGGGGCAGGCCTCCCAAGGGGGGGCATGGGAATGTGTCAAGGAAGGTGCAAGCTCTATGTGTGGGGAGGGGTTCAGTGATCTGGCTGTTGGCACCAGGTGGCTGAGGCTCCTGCAGAATGGTTGTGCACACCCAGGGGCTGGAGATAAAGAGGACAGATGGAGCCCAGTCACCCCGGGCTGATAGCCAGACCCGCACCGTTCAGGGTCTCCTCCATCTGGATCCCTCACCCGGAGGCAGAAGGGTTCTGTCAGCCAAGGGGGTGGCAGCAGCAGAGCACAAATAAAAGTCTGTTGTGAAAAACAATATTGATGTACACAACGTTTCACATTGCCACTCTCACTTCTGTGCTGCTGCTGGTGTGTAGAGCTGGGCACCTGGCCAGCAGCTGCTGCTCTCTGCTGCCGTCAGAACTGAGCACTTGGCCAGCAGCCGTGGCTTTTCACTCTGCTTCAGAGCCGGGGGGGGTCAGTATGTGTATTTGTGGGGACATAAATGTTTATATTTGCAGAGAAGGGGGAGACTGATCAAATAAGTTGGAGAACTACTGCTTTAGGGAACAACTAAATTACACAGCAGATACTGAGGTAATAATTAAGTATTGAAGGATTTTTCAGGCTTTGAAGCATGACGGTGTGGAGTAGAAGAGCAATTGCACTATAGAATGTTGTAGAAGTGTTGGATTTACCCTCCTGTGTCAGCAAAGATCTGGACAGCTCATCGGTGTTAAAAAAATCACCTGGAACAGCAGATAGAAAGTCTAGGGATTCGAATGTAAAAGGTTTCTGGGTCAAATCCTGCTCCTACTGCGGTCAATAACAAAACGCCCATTGAGTTCATGGTGGCTCACGCTTACCTGAGTCTGTAGTACATTCATTACAGTTCAACAAGTGTAAGTGATCCATGCTCTGTCAGATTGCCTTGGCTGCTTCTGCCTCCTTCTCAGAAAATGAGCCACCTCTAGAAACTGTAGTTAGAGCTTTGAGTAGCACAGGAAATCTGCCATCAGAATCACACAAAGTAAGCAAATACTCCACATGCCCTATATATTCATCTGTCTGAAAGGAGCTGACAAGGAATCAAAGTTGGCCTAGTTGGGCATGATTTTTGCCGATTTGAACTCTTCCGAAGACTAATTTTTGCCAAAAACATTTCTTCTATGGCTCTGGGATTGCGGATGTAAAGCACAGTGGAGCTACGAGACACATTTGAAATGTGGACAAAAATAGCTGGTAATCTTTGTGAACAATTTAATTAAATTTTTAAAGAGCTCTGGTTTGCTGCCTAGTTACTCCTAGATTTTAGCACTTTGAGGACATGAAATAAGTGAAAATACTGAAGAACATCAGAGTGGAAATACACCAAGAGTCTTTATTATAATCTGGGAAGTTCATACTTTATCCTTTCCTAGCTCCACTTCATTGTTGCTAAATGAATTGATATTGTCTATTCTAGGCGTAGTCTCACATTTAATCAACCAGCTTCTCAGCCTCGGTATTTGTTGACTTAAATGGAGTTATACCAAGGATAAATTTGGCCAAATAGGTGCAAACATTTACGTGTGAGGCATATTGGTACTGTCTTTCCAATAGCCAATTGCTACCACTGGAAATGTTTTCCCATCAGCAAAGCAAGTCAAAACCGATCCATCCTTTTGAGCAGAGTATTGTCAAGGAAGGGGAAGAAAGCCTAGCAAGTATGTAATGTGAAATGCTTGTTATTTATATATTTAAAACTTTTCTTATTCTTGGTTCACATGTTTTTGTTCTGTTTTCATTTAGGATCTGCCTATTCTGAGGTACAGCATGTGTGTGACTAGATTTATCTACCAAAGATTTTTTTTGTCAGGACTTCTTTTGTGTTTTTTGTGATTTCTTATCTGTATGTCTGTGAACAAATATGATGTAATTGATTACAATTTGTTGTATAAAATGTTATTTAATTGCTAATGTATTCAAAATAAATTATTTAAGAAACTAAGCTTCTTACGTTCCTTAAATATACTCTTAAATTTAAAAAAATTTGGTGGGAATGTTAAATAGGAAAGCAGAATGAATTCTAATGCAAGGATCATTTTAAGCATCAGCACTTAGATACTGCTTTTGATCTTCAGAATATTTTACCAGCAATTCTTAAAAATTAGAGATGGCCCCAAAAAAAGCCACCCCAAAACAGGGACAAAACAACACTCCCATCTCAACGTCTTTTTGGAAAATGTTCTTATTTTATTTGGTCAATAATTTAGCAAAGTGTCAATGTTTGAAAGGTTATGGTCCGATCTTTGACCAAAATGTATAGATCAGTAAAAATATGTTGCAAAAATGTTATTTTTTCAAAATGTCACAAGATCTCAAACAGCTCAATTTTAAAACGTAGGGATAGTCTAAAATCATAAAGCTGGGACCCAGTGGTGGATTTTGAACACCTCACCTGATTGGAATGTTCAGATTGAGGATACTTGCCATGTTCTTGTTGGAATCCAGGGTTGAATTTCAAATATCCTCAAAGCTCGGTGATGCTTAGAATCCAGTTTGTTTCTGACCTGTGTCTGTTCCCAAAGGATTGGTCTGTCCCCAGGTAGTTGTTGGATGAGGTCTAGGAAGACCAATCGTGGCAACACTGGTGAAAAAATGGGAGGATAGTCTCTGGTCACTAGGAGACAGCGCTCGTGTAACGCGGACAGGTGGAATTGAATGTGGAGCTTAGTGCATGATCCTCTACCTCATGAGCTAAAAGCCAGGTGACTCTCAGCTAAGGCTGTAGAGCAGACTCATTATTCTCTCTCTGTTAGTGGCCTTTGTGCCGCTAGATGAAACAGTGCGCCATACCCAGAAGGTGTGTGGAGAACTCGTGCCTACAGTGAGTTCGGACAGGTCCTGTGGGTGCTTTAGCTTTCACCAACTACTGGAATGGAGGCTCGGGTCTTTTAACTTCAGTGGGAGATTGGCTTGAAAAACATGATTGGTCCAAATGGCTCTGCAGTTCCCTGCCCCTTAAAATCACCAGCGTGGCAGAAAGGGGCCTCAGTGTCAGGAAGCTGTAGTTTTAAGGCCCCTGCAGAGCTTCCTACTGGAAACCAGGAATTGTATGAGCAAGGCATGGCACCAAGGCGATGAACCACTTTTGCTGGGGAGGGTAGGACACATGGCCTGCCATGTGGACAGCGTCTGTAGTTAAGACCAATTAAGGAGGCATTTTTTTGGCAACAACCACAGTGGATGAGAAGTACGAAAGGGGGAACTCAACACTCCTTGTGAAGCGACTGGATTCTTTGCTTCCACTCAGCACAGATGGAGACTGCCACAGCCTAGTTAGTGCCTTCATGAAATAGAAATTCTCAGTGCTGTACGTACATAATGCTGATCAGGAATGTCCTGAGGTGTGCGTGGGCCCAAGGGCAATCCCCATCCAGTGCCCCATGTGCTGGGCTCAGAGCAACCCCTGCCCCTCAGAGGCTCCCCCACCCAGATCCAACCCTCCATCAAGCCCTGCCTCTGCTCTGCCCCGTCTTGCCCCCGTCCCCGAGCAACGCAACCCAGAGTCAGTCAGCGCCTCCATGTACTGCCGGTGGGAGGCTTGCTGAAATAACCCCAATATACTCCCCCGGGCAGTCACTCCTGTCTGAGGCAGGCCCTGCTGCCCCAGGACCTTGACGAGGAAGTTGATGTACCTCATGGCCAAGCGGAGCATCTCGTTTCTTTCCAATAGCCCATTGCTACCACTGGAAATGCAACGCATCCTAGGGGATTGCAGGGGCCTGGCACAGTGACATGATTTCCTTCTAAGCTCCAAACATTCCTGGGACCCCTTCCACTGTATCAGCCTCTCCTACGTCATGTGTGTATATGACATCTTTCACAATCACAAAGGAGATGTACGCTGATAATGGCTCAACATTAGGCACTTCTACCCTTCAGGAAGCAGACTTCCTTGTGACAGGCAGTCATTCCATTTTAAGTCTCAAGTTCTGGGCACTCACCATTGTCTCAATACCTAACTAGCTCTGGATCTAGAGCGCTAGTAATTATAGCACTTGGAGGTCAGAGGAGTTAGCTATGGGAAGAATTATATCCTACATCATACCATATTATCACTGTGTCTTGCCCTACATCCTACTATATTATCACCATGTCTTGCCCTACATCATGCCATATAATCACCGTGTCTTGCCTGTCCAGTAAAGAGAAGATGTTGACGACAAATAGTGTTTTCCCATGACATGACAATCAGGTTCTCAAGAGGTCTTGAGAGCGTTTACCTGCAGGTCCGGGACCCTGTTCTGTAGTGGGACCTTAACCTGGTCCTTTCTAGGCTCACCAGCCCACCTTTCGAGCCACTGGGCTCCTTCTCCCTGTCCTACTTGTCATGGCAGGTCTCTTTCCTGGTGGTGGTGACATTGGCGAGATGTGTCTCGGAGATTAGGCCTTGACCTCAGAACCGCTGGGCATGTTTTTGTTTTTTTTTACAAGGACAAAATCCAGCTGTGTTCCGGCCTTCCTGCCAGTGGTGGCTTCCAGTGCTTTGTCCCAAGCTGCACAAGACTGTCGAGGCACCTGCATGAGATGAAAGTCTGGAAGGCCTTGGCCTTTTACCTAGAACATGCCAAATCTTTCCATAAATCAGCCCGGCACTTCATTGCTGCAGCAAATAGGATTAGGGTTGCCAGATGGTTTCAACAAAAATACTGGCCACACTTGACCTTACATCACAATCTACATTCATCTTATTTAGAAAATACCGGATATCTCTATTGTCTCTATTTGTTTCCTGAACAGAAAGCTCAAATACTGGACTCTCCAGTTAAAAACCAGACACCTGGCAACCCTAGACAGGATGAAGGGCCTCTTGGTTTCTTCACAGAGGATTTCCAACTGGATCACCTCCTGCATAAAGCCTGTTATGAGCTGGCAAAGGCCCCACTGCTGTCGATCATCAGTGCCCATTCGACTAGCGCACAAGCCTCTTTGATGGCCTTCCTGGTGCACATCCCTATCCAGGACATCTGTAGAGCCAGGACATGGTCCTCTGTCCACACGCACTCGTCACATTACACCGTCACTGAGCAGGCCGGAGATGACACTGGGTTCAGCA